AAAGAGTCAGAAATTGCAGTTTTTTTGCTGCAACATCTTTATTTCTAAAGTGTGATTTTTCATATTTCATGATTGTTGACTTTTTTCTTCTTGACAAACACACACACACGAAATCTGCTAGGTTATATTCATACATTCACAGCTGCCACAGTCCCTCTCGGTATTCTGTAAATGAGATTTCTAGTGTGAGATCATTAATTAAACTATTTTTTTTTGTCTTCCAGAACAAGGAAAAAGCAATCTGCATGTAACGTCATTAGAAGATGCAGAATGCCGAAGAACCAAGGAATGCCTTGCTAATGGGAACAGTCGAGTTTCAGTTTCCAAGGCTTCCCGAAACATCCCACGGAGACACACGCTAGGTGGGCCCCGAAGTTCCAAAGAAATACTGGGAATGCAAACATCTGAGATGGATAGGAAGAGAGAAGCTTTCCTGGAACATCTCAAGCAGAAATACCCGCATCATGCCACCGCAATCATGGGCCACCAGGAGAGGCTGAGAGACCAGGTACGAATGTGCTACCATTCCGCTCTGCAAAGCTCATTCTTTAATGAACATGAAGGAAAGGAAAGTCACCTTCTGTTTAAAAGAGGAAAAATAATTGAGTGGACTGTGCCCACCACTAAGTTGCTCCATATCTCAAGAAGAGAGATCCAGAGAGTGGGCAGTTCTCCGAAAAGGGTCCCCATGGTCAGCCACAAATGCATCTGAAGTGCAGGCAGGGAAGGGGTATTACTTGACTGAGTAAAACATAGGATCAACTGCTTTGCACCCTGTTAGCACCAAGTGCTTGGCACAGTGAATGAATGAGTATATAAATACGTTTTCAGGGTAAAACAGAGCACGGAGGGATAAACTTGAGACAAATCCCTTTTCCTTAAGAAGCTGATATTAGGGTTTTGTTTCTGCTCACTCTTTTTCTTTTTAATCACAGATGTTTTCCTTTTGCATGCTTGGTTTTCTGCTGTCTTCAGCTACCTGTTTTCTCAGGTTATCTTGACAGCCAGACAGATATCACCCAACTGTGGCTTGGGGTGTTTTTGTTTCTTGTCTGTGTGCAATTACTTTTTAGCTGACAGGAGGCGGGAGGCCTTCTCTGTCGACCTCACAGCCATGTTATCAGATTGACCTTTCAGGATGGGGAACATAGCAAAGGACTGAGAGCATTTAGTGATTTGGGTGGTCAGGGAAGAGGGCAAGCTGTTATTGATTTCTACCCTCCAGGTAGAGAGGCAAGCACAGTGTTTTAAGTCTGCTATCTCGCAAATAAGTTAGTTACAAAAGTGATGTCTAACTAGCTCAACTTTAGAGCACCCATGGAAGTGGAGATTATCATCAGTTTAAATTATTTAAACGTATGCTTTATCTCAATTTCATTTTTTCCCCTTAAATTTAACCTTCTAAACTATAAAATCTTTATCAGAGTGCCTAAAACCGTGACGTGCTTTGTGGACTATGTGTTTGCTTTCTGTTCACATTGCCAAAAGGCAGTTGACCTAGAGAGGAGAAGAGAAATGGGAGCCCTGTTTGAGGTGGAGATGTGCAGATCACTTGCTTGGTAATTAAGGAAAGGAAAGCTATCTTTTCATTTCAAGCATACATGCATACTGCAGAGCTACTGTGGGTTGGGTTCCAGACCACTGCAATAAATCTAGTCATTATCTTTTTGCTGGTAGAGAGTCTTGTCTTCCATTTGCAAACAGCACATCTGTCAAGGGCAATACAGTGAAGCACAATAAAATGAGGTGTGCCTGTATATAGAAAATACTCCTGTTTTCTATTTTTAAATTGTACTTACTTATTTTTTACTTTTCTCAGTTTTATTGAGATATAATTGATATATAACATAAATACCCTTGTTTTCTATTAAAAGTAGAGTCATGATCCATTTAAGTGGATCGGATACTAGAATCGGTATCTCTCCCTGTGTCGTACATTTGGTGAGACACCATATTTTATATAAAGCAGTTCCAATTGAGGAAACTCACTCAAGGTAGTTATACTTGCACAATTTGCTCAGAAGAAAGCTGGGATTGGAATCCAGATAAGTTTGAGCTCAGAATCCTTGTTTATTCCACTGTTCTGTAAGTGGAAGATCACTGATTATAGAGACAAGGTAGTATGGTCTATATCTGGGATGTAAGGGTCATGGAGTGTGTGTGTGTGTGTGTGTGTACATGCATGCACAGGCACATGTCACCATGGGGACAAGGGTCAGGATAAAGGAAGCTAGAAAACTGATTATGTATTGAGTGAAGAGGGAAAATATTTTTAATGTTAAAATATATTCTTTCTGAAATATAGAAATTAGTCTGTCAAAATGGTTGTTTTTCATGTCAAAAATATTCCAGTTATTATCATTGCTGTTATTATTTGTGATGTCATGATTATAGCTACTACTATGATAATGGTGCTTTTAGGTTAAAACAATTACACGGGGAGCCTAAATATAGCTAGAAGGATGTAAAGGGCACATGGTGTCGGATGATAGGGAATAATGATGTAGGTTAGTGGCCTCAAGCTTTGATCTCTTGTCACATATATCTCTGCCCTGGTTGCAGTCCAGCCATGGCTGGGCAGCTGTGCCTTTGCTGGTAATTCAGGATGAATTTTTGTCTATTCCAAGCTGACCACCAAAAAGGAGAAAGATTTTGATGCCTTGTTCTGTATATACGTTTTTTATTCCACTGCTTTGTTGCAAGTGAACCTTAATAAGCATTGTAAACATCAGTTATAAGCTCAGGCAAGGGTGTATGATATTCCTATGAACAGCACTTTCTCTAATGCCTTTTCCATTCTTTTTCTCCTGCCACCCTTTTCCTTCCTCTGTCCTTTCCTCTGCTCCATGACATCCTTTGTTTCTCCCTGATCTTCTGACAATGGATTATCCCAGGCTTCCTTTGCAGGAAGATACATGAGCTGCCATGAGGAGGAATTCCAATAGCACATGTCTGATGCTCTTCTCCAGATTCTCAATACCATGTTCTCTTCTGATATTTTATCATCAGTTTAAATTATTAAAACTTCACCAGGAAGGTGCTTGTTTGTCAGTCTAACCTGAGAAAAAGATAATTGGCTAGAGGGGTGGAGCCACTGCTAGCACGAAAAATCCTCCCAGAGAAGTGGCCTTAGTGAGGAGAGTGCCGTTGAAAAAGATGCTGAAAATGCCGTATCTGGCACCTTACATGAAATATTTTTTTAAAAAAAATTTTATTGAATTTATCGGGGTGACATTAGTTAACAAAATTATAGAGGTTTCAAGTGTACAATTCTATAATGCATCATCTGTATATTGTATGTTAACTACCCAAAGTCAAGTCTCCTTCCATCACCATTTGTCCCCCCTTTATTCCCTTCTACCTCCCTGTTATTGATGGGGTGCCCTCTGTGTCCCCACCTGTTGCAGGTGGAAGTGGACTTCTTGCAATATCAGAAAGGAGAGGAATTTTCTGAGGCTTGCACAGGAGGATGAGTGATATTGATTTCGTGGAATGAAACCCCTGGGTTTCCAAGGCCCCATTTCCCTCCATGCTGCCATGGAAAAAGCCCAGTCCTGTCTTTAGCAGTGCTAGGATTAAATCCAGTCCCCACAGTTGCCTCTCTGTATTAAAGCACAGTCTAGTCCAGCATCTGGCTGGCTTAATTTGTGTTCCCAGCTGCAGTCCATTGCTCTTGGGGTCCACCTGGGCATGGGCCACTTAAGGCCACATGGCAGGCTAGCACATGGGCAAGTATAGGTCACAAGCAAGAGAGTGCAAAAGAGTAGGAGCACAAGAGAGAGAGAGAACCTTTTGTTTCAGGGTTATAACTGGGAGCTTAACCAATTCATCCTTCAGGATTTTTCGTGCTAGCAGTGGCTCCACCCCTCTAGCCAGTTATCTTTTTCCAGGTTAGAATGACAAACAAGCACCTTCCCTACATCACCTGCCTTCACTGTGCATGTGCCCATCTTCCCCTTTGTTGGACCCCTTCCCCCAGTGATGTGCAGTGAATGGACCAGTGGTTCCTTAGGGAGTATGAAATTGCAGCTCCCTGGTGAAGTTGCCCAGATCACCATGCTTGTAATGGTTGGCCTCCCCTTTGCTCTTTTACTATTATTAATATTAATAACTAGCTAATTATGACAGTAACATTTTTTCTTCAGGGTAATTTCAGACTGAAATTGAAAGATTAAGTCTGTTCCTGTTTTTTTTCTTAACCCCTTCACCTTTTTCACCCATTACACAAAATATTTTAATACTAAGGGACTCTTAGATTCTAGTCATTACACAAAATATTTTGATACTAAGGGAATCTAGATTCTAATTCCTTGGTATTATATAAAAAGAGAATTAGAGCAAACTTTATATTTTGAAAATTGAATTTAAGCACTGGAAGATTCATGGTTGAAAACTTATATTCAAGTCTTTGAAATTTAGTCCACCAAGAATTTTCTAAGGTCTAAATTATTCTAAAGCAAACTAGGTTTCTTTCCACTACCTTAAAAAATGCAGATGACTATTATTGCAGCATCGTGCTTATCTGCATAATAGCAGCTGTCATTATCACTGACTCCCCCAAGCTTCTGTGCAGGGCAATCAGACTGTGATGCTCTATCACCTGGCAGCTAAGGCTTGGCTCTGGAGTCAGGCGGGCTGAGTTGGTATCCAGCCTCCATCCATGTGCTGATTGTGTGATTTGGAGCTTAATCTTCTCTGTCTCAGTTCCCTTATATGTCACAAGACAATAATAACTATATCATAGAGTATTGAGGAAGAACATGATGGATCCTTTTACTGCTACAATGACAGCTCTTAGCATTACACTATTTTGGTTTATGATGTCCAAAAGAAGAGTCTCAGAGGCTCTATTTTCAAATTAGTATTTAAATTCATTTTATTTTTTATTAACACATATTTAAGTTACCCGAAGTTTATTTTTCCTATTGACAGAACAAAATTGTACTATATTTCTGAAACTTACTTTGAAAACTTAAAATTTAGATTTCTTTTACTTATTCATTATGTGTGTGTGTGTGTGTGTGTGCAAATATCTATATACCAGGTATACTGGTTAATAATGCAGATTTTGTAATCAAAGAAAACACGATAATTTCAAAAGAAACATCAAAAGTGCTTTATTCAAAGTAATGTCCATCGCTAGCTACACATTTCCCCCATCTTTCAGGTAATTTGTGGATACCATCCCAGTAGAACTTTTCTTGTTTTGAGGCAAACCTTTCAGAGACCCAATTTTCCACTTCTTTGTACATTTTGAAGAACTGCTCAGAA